TAGATATGAACTTGCGTTCAACGGTGTTAGTCTCTGGCCAGACAATATTCTTCAAAACTTGTACCGGTGACGTCATGAAATTCTCGACCGCCCTCTAGCGGCAGGTTTAAGAATGTCCAAAATGCATTTTGAATAGACGTCTGTGGCGAAGTGTTTTGTAATCGCCTGAAAACTGGTATATATAATGACCTTCATCAGACCGGAAGTTACAACGAAAAGACCTTCTATTCTTCAAAAATAAATCAATCCTGAGAGATATAATCGTGAATTGTCCATTGAATGATAGCTTAAACATTGGCGTCAATTGTTCCAGGTTCGTGGCTTGTCTAATTGTAAACACACGTGACCCACCGCCGACAAAAATACCCTTATAGTAGTCTGTCGCTCAAAAAATCAATGAAAGCATAGCGCGTCGCCGTTCGGCCACGGCATAGGCCGGGCGCGCACGCCCGCTGAACGTGGCCTGGCTTTTCGTTTGCTTTTCGCGGGCGTGCATGTACATGTACATTTACATGTCCAGTTATTAGTACGTAGACTCTGAGAAAGTCTGAGGAGAAGTGCTGTTGTCACTTGTGTACGACTAAAATAGATTGCTGCGCGCGTCTTCGGACTTGAAAAAAGGGCAAGACAGAAAAGCGCGCATGCGCAGTTAATGTGTCATAACCGGGGTTAAGCTTGTACACTGCATTCACACTGTGATTCGGAAAGTAGAATGTGTGCACTTAGGCTGTTCGTGGAGCGTCTTGGTAAGGCACCTCTTACGAACTCTGAGCGGCGATTTGGCGAATATAAATGTTTGTTTCTGTTTATAAATTTACCTTCGGATAGTAAATATTTTTTCAGGTTTTTTTTCAGGCAAAAGGTATTGGGAGTTCATGCTGAAAACAGCTTACCATTTAAAATGGCTCCAGTTATGATTGGACACATGAATACATGCAAATCAATGAACATGCATCCTCTCCGAATAACATCAGTATTCACTACCCATATTCACTTTTTTCTAGTTAAAAAAAATAAATACATACTGACATTGATCACTACCTAAAAGAAACATTTTGAAACAAAATGATTAGTTTTATCAGACAGTTTAAATTTCGTTATCCTTGGTACATGTTCTTACATAAAAAAATATTCATAACTTAACTGGACAGTGTTTCATAAAATAGTTGTCTACCCGACCACTCTGCGTTTGTAACAACAAACGCGAACCTCTAGTTCTTTCTTTCTTTCTTTTTTTTTCCGGACAATACTTCTCCATGGGTTTTCTCTTAAACGGTATATGGTATGAACTTGTAACTTTCAATATATTTCGACCCTCAACCGAAGTGGTGCATATTACTCTGACGTCATGATTACGTCATCAGGTGTCAAATTACAAGTGATTTTATCTGAAAAAGTGACCAATTACTTTCGCCTATAACTCTTGAACTAAACAATCAATGATGTTTGTATTCTGTAATCAGATAGACCATTAATCGCTTAACAGTTTTTGTCATGTACGTGAACTCGCTTGACCTTTACTTCCGGGTCTACCGGAAGGTCAAAGTTAGGTGAATTCAAAATGAAGACGTTAGCCTGACATCAAAACAAAGCAGCATTTCTTCCGAACGGTTCACGGTATGATCACAAAACCTTGTGTGAACTTGTACCATGTTACGAAGATGTTATAAATTTTGTTTCGTCATCATGACGTCATCAGGTATCAAATTACAAGCGATTTAAGGGCAAATTTTGACAAAATAGTTTGCGTTATATCTTTTGAACTAAATAGAGTATTGTGTTCGTTTTTTCGTGAGGTTGTAGACTATGCCGTGGGAAACATTTCGTGTTCCCGGACGCAAAACCGCTTGACCTTTACTTCCGGTGTTACCGGAAGTGCAATAAAAACTGAATATAACTCAAAAGTGGAAGCATTTTACTACAGACACATATATTATGAAAGTGTTTAGTGAGGAATGCCAGACACAAAAACAGTGTGAAGACGTCATCATCCGAAAGGGTGCCCCCTAGCAGCACATAAAATATTGTTTCTTTTCTTTACTTTTAAAACCATAGGTTCAAATTTTACCAAATCAACCCTTGGTATTCTTTGATTAACCACAGATAACTTGGCAACGTTTCGAATTCATGACGTCGTCAGACCGGAAGTTACTTCTATGAGAATTTGAAAACAACCATATTTTAAATTTAATTTATATCATTTGATCCATGTCGTATATCTTAGCCCAAATAACGATACCATTACAATGTTCACCTTTTGCTTCCAAAAACTGCCAAAAACTTAGCCAGATTGCCATCAGCCTTATTGAGTGGTCGGGCACAACCCGACCACTCTCTGTTATTGTTCTGATAAATCTTTATTTTTTTTTCAGACAATACTTCTCCGCGGCTTTTCTCCTAAATGGTTCATGATATGAACTTGTAACTTTCAATATATATCGACCCTCATCCTTAGTGGTGCATATTACTCTGACGTCATGATGACGTCATCGGGTGTCAAACAACAAGCGATTTTAGCTGAAAAAGTGACCAATTACTTTCACCTATAACTCTTATACAAAATAGTGTTTATATTCTGTTATCAGATAGACCATGAACTGATTAACATTTTTTGTCTTGTAAATAAAGAATCGTGCTCGTTTTTTTCGTGAGGTTGTAGACTATGCCGTGAGAAACATTTCTTGTCCCCAGGACATAAAACCGCTTGACCTTCACTTCCGGTGTTACCGGAAGTGCAATAAAAACCGAATATAATTCAAAGGCGGAAGCATTTTACTACTCACATATCATTTTGATAGTGTGTAGTGATGAATGCCAGAAAAAAAAATTGATGTCACCTTTCGAAAGGGCGCCCCCTAGCGGCACATAAAACAGTGTTTGCTTTCTTTAATTTGAAAATCGTCCGTTCAAATTTTACTCAATCACCCTTTGATATTCTTTCATGAACTACAAATAAGTTGGCAAGGTTTCAAATTCATGACATCGTCAGACCGGAAGTTACTTCTATGGGAATTTGAAAACAATCATATTTTAAATTTAATTTATATCATTCGATCCATGTCGTATATCTTCATATCTAGCAGTGTTGGAGGTCTCGACCAAAGTCTTGGTCTCGAGACTAGTCTCGAGACCATATTTTTCAGGCCTCGACGATTTTGAGGTCTCGGAATGTTGTGGTCTCGGTCTCGACTCCACATGTCTCGGTCTCGGACAAGGGTCTCGGATCAAGACCTTGACGAGACCCGTTAAATATGCTAGAGTGTTTGAAGACAATTATTTGATTAACTGCTTATGGAATATGGAGTCGACACTTGTATCGCCAGGGCAAATCATAACGCATAGTGCATGTCAAAAGAATTTCCGCAGGGAGAGCTTGCTTATTGCCAGCATATCGCTGCTCAGTTAGTAGCATGGATTGTTTGTCAAAATCCGTTAACAAACCGCGTGTCGTGACGTCCGTCACGTGCGTGTATTGACTGATGGCGACAACTAGTCAGTTCACCTTCAGTACTACTACCAACTTGCTGAGTACAGTAAATCATGATCAGAATAAGAGATAAACCTGTATTTGGCTAATTCAATCGGGCATGTCCCATCAGTTGCACTTCAGTTCTGTCGCACTCTAGAAATGTTCAAAGAGCGACAGACGGCACATACCTGTATGAATTAGTCAAACCATTAGAACCTAAAACCAACCCTAACAGTCCTCAATCCTCCAATTTCAATATGATTTTGCACACCCCCTAAATGTACTAAAGGCATGGTACAGCATTAGTTTTTTTTTTTTTAAGTTTTGAAGAGTTTTGGCATTAAATTTGCATTGATATGTGCACACGTTTGTACACAACTTGCTAGTTATTGTGTGTGTGTTTTTTTAAAATAAGGTCTCGGTCTCGGTCTCGGTCTCGGACTATGAGGTCTCGGTCTCGGTCTCGGATTGGGAAGTCTCGGTCTTGGTCTCGGTCTCGGACTATGTGGTCTCGGTCTCGGTCTCGGTCTCGGTCTCGGACTTTGAGGTCTTGACTCCAACACTGATATCTAGCCCAAATAACGATATCCATTACAATGTTCACTTTTTCTTCCAAATACTGTAACGTCATAAAACCGGAAGTTTGGTGTTATGAATGCAAACACTTATGTTTTCCATATTTTTATACCTTATTTAACTTCACAACGAACATTGTCAATTCCGAACTAAATCAGTATTCACTTCCCGTTTTTGAATAATGTCGTCATCGAGCCAGAAATAATTTGTATGTGTACATAATTATAATGCTTACTGAATTTTATCACAAAATTATTGATTGTACTGGAAAGGATTTAATTTCGTGATCCTTTGTTCTTACATAAAAATATTCATTACTGAACTCGGCAGTGTTTAATGAAAAAAATGCCTTCCCGACCACTCTGCGTTTGTAACAACAAACGCGAACCTCTAGTTTCCCCTGATTTTATCAAAATCCCCATACCTGTATCTGTAAGAAATGAGGTACATGTAATTGGATTCAGGACTGTTAATCCTAGCTTCTATTCCTACGGAGTGGTAGATGTTGGTGAATTCTTGAAGTTTTTGAGCAAAAATGCCTATATGGTGTAGTCTGAATTTTTTTTAAAAATAAGTAACTAAATAAAAAAAATGTTTTTTGGAAACACCGATTTAACAACTTTTGTTCATTTTATTTAACTGTAACCTCAAAACTTAAATTTCACCTGGTCATTATCTTCATTTAACCTCTGCGGTATTGTGTTTTAGTCATGTTTTATTTTCTGTGTTCATGACTTGTTGCACTTGCTGCTTGTGTTGTGCAGGATTTTCCTGTAGTCCACACACAGTGAGTGTAGGTGAAACTTTTTGCTTGAGGTCAACCTCTGAAAACAAGTTTAATAGTGACCTTGAACGTGCTGAAGACAGAAAAAATAATACCTTTGGCAAAGAGCATGAGATATGGCATGGAACCCATGTATTTATCAAAAGCTTTCTGTTTGTTTTCTCTTGTCAGGGTATACTGCGGACTTCCTCCATTGACAAGACTGCTGGAAACAGGTTACCTTCCAATCATCAACCGGGTTCTGTCATCTCATCAGGCTCTGCCTGGCATCATCATGTGGAACTTTTGCTGATGTATCACTTAGGACATTGCACAGGACGTGAGATACTGACTATAGAATAAACGCATTATTCATTTCTCTAATGGGGTCGACCATGGACTTCCTTTATTCCGGAGACTGCTAGAAACAGGTTTCACCCCAATCACGGACTCATCTCGTCAAGCTCTTATGGCATCATCCTGAGGAACTTTCGCTGGTGCATCACACAGAGCATTACACAGGACGTGAGATACTGACTATAGAAACAAACTGTTGGTACAGTTGTGGATGGTGAGCTTGGACCATATTCCACAAGGCTACTTACGTCTAGTGATCAAAAACTCAAATTAAAATGCTATTGTTAGTAGACTGTGTGACTCATCCTGCCATGAATTATTGAAACCACCCAGCTGCGTTCCTGATTCGTTTTGAACTCTGTGGATATGCATCCCATTAGAACATTTTACGGACTGGACCATACATGTACATGTATGTGCACACCAAGAAGCTACCAGCTAATCCTACAAGACTGTACTTCAGCATCTTCTGCTGTGGAATTCTTGACATTGGATTGTGTACCAGAGTGCTTCAGCATTGACTGGAATTTCTACAAACTTGAATGGCTGATGCACAATTTAACTTGAGAGATGCAGAGAATCATCAACAAAGAACTAAGTTTAGAACATTGGGTTGGGAAATAAACAGTGGCGTAGCTTAATTTTTTTTTCCTTCATGACAGTGAAGATATGACCTTTCAAACCTCAATGTGTCTCAGTTTTGGGATATAAATGTCTTGAACGTTAGCATCAAAGTCCATCTTAAAAAAACCTCTAAAATTCAAGTTGACAAAAAAATCATGTTGAACAAATGTTGAAGAGGAGTCATTACAAAAAAGAAAGATATTAAGTTGCTAGATTCTCATTGGATGTAACTTGCGATATGTGGTCATGCAATATCAATCATTCTTGGTTCGCATTAAGTTTCCAACTTTCGTAATTGGCCATTTTGCATTCTCATCTATATCATCAAAGCTACGCCACTGAAAAAAAGGGTTGAGGGTGGGAATTGGGTGAGAGTACCAAGTCCATTTTGACAACGGAGCTCTTAAAGGTCCTTAGCTTTTTTTGTCAGCAAAGTGATCTAAAAACGTTTCTCTTACAGCAAGAGGTACATGTACACAAGCGCAGCAGGCAAAAAAAGCCACCATAATTGAACTTTTTATAAATGAGACAGTAAGCTCTGTGAAAATCACAATAGTATTAAATTAGAATTATCTTACTCTCCAAGGACTTTTGAATTCTAAGCTGACAATTTCAAATGGGTGGAACATCAAGGTATCTAATTTTGTTCTCAGCTCTTCGTCAGAATGGACTTGTATTTGTAACCAGCCCTCATTTGTAGCCAGTCTATAAGGATTAAAGATAAAAAAAACAATATATCCAAAAAAAGGATAAGCATGAGAAATTCAAGACTATTTTATGAAATTCAACCTTTTGCAGCTTAGCATTATGCATGGAGAGACAATAAGTATTGACAGCAATTCAAAAAACATTCATTTCGTAAAATTTTTGCAGTTAAAACTTAGTGTATGCTAAAAAATTCCTCGTTTTATCCAAACATGAAGTACTTTTTTGTTAATCATGAAGGAAAGTTCATCTGACCATTTGACCACAAGCGCTCTTTTCACACCGAAATCAAAATGTACATGAACATGTGAGGGCTGGTTACATTATTATTTAAATATTGATTTTAAATTCAGTGCCTGAATGGTAAATCTTGACAATCCAGGTGCATGATGGGTAATTGATGTCACACCACAGTGAACACAGTTAAGGCAAAATATTGTCCCATTGCAAGTCTCTTGAAATTGAAAAAATTTGATTTTTTGTTCTGAATTAGCAATGCTTTAAATTTTGAATCGAGCATTCAAAATATTCAAGTTCAGGAAATGAAAATGGCAAAATTTACTTCTTTTGTCAACCAAAAAATCAGTTTGTGAATGCTATTGCAATAGGTTTAAGACATTTGTTAGGTCAGCGCAAAGTATGCATTTTGTTTGGTACTAAATTGTTGTTTTGCTAAATGTACTAAATTTACTTAATTGAAAGTCCCAAAGTTTTTACCTATCTTGCACCTGGTTTGAACTGTACATGTATAATCAGCACTGATGTTCAGGCATTAGAGTTGTAGAGTTCAAAAAGTCAACTACTGTGGAAGACATTTTGGCTGATCGCATTTAACAACAGCGTACATAAATGTATGATTTTCATCAGATCATTCAACCCATGCAAAACAAGCATGGCTACATATTTAGCGCAAGCTGCTACAAGTAGTTTGAAAATTGGCACAAGTTTCTCTTTAATACTACATTGATGAGTTCACAAATTCTGCAAATTTTGGTGATTTGCCGACTTGAAGCTTGGCTTCAGTCAAAATTAGAAGTTTAAAAATACGCAGTATATTCTGGGGAAAGTAAGCGCAGGCACAATTGTATCTCAGTGCTGATTATACATGTACTTGCGACATATATTTTGTAAAAATCAAATGATTAAAATATTTTGCATTATTGTCTTTTACCATCAGGCACTGTAAATGAAAACCAATAAAGCCCAGCCACATGCAGGCCCTCCTGGTGCGTGCACGTGTGTCCCCTGCCCGCAGACGCTGACAGGTTGGTGGTTGCCCGCTATCTGCATCGGCTTGTGAATTGACTGTTGGTGATGTATGCAGCTCCCTCGAAATCTTGCACCCTGGGTGATTGTGGATACCTCGGAAGACTGCAACATGGTAAGGATCCTTTAAACTTTGACAATTGGTTAGTTTGTCTACAAAGCAGATGTACATGTCCATTACTCCAGGAATGGCAACTCAAGAGAACACTTCTGTGCCTACTCCGATATTACTCACTTGACATTCAGAGAGTTCCTTGGGCATCATGTTCTGAGATCCATGAAAATGAAAGATTTTCAAATGGTGAATTTTGTAGGTTTTCTTGGATATTTTATAGTGTCGTATGATACTAGGGCAATTGTGTTGGTCCTATTTATTGTGAAAATCTCCAGAGTAACTCTTAAATCACTGCTGTTCTGTTGTTATTTACATATTCCATTGCTGGTTCTCTAACAGAGATATGAATCTCAAACAAAAACTTAGTAGCATAAAATAAGAACAAAATGTCTCCATTTAAAAGCAGCAAACCTAAAGCTGAGCATGATTGAATGCAACGTTACTCTTGAACAAAATTGTCCAAAGCCCACTCAAGTTGGGCAATCATAGGGTTTGGTAGCCTGCTTGATCTTTCATTGCAAAACCGAATGTAGTCTTACAATTGCAGTCCAAGTGCTGGTAATAAAATTCAAAATCTATTTTGTAAACAAGTCAGAACCCTGATTTTGAGGTTAAAAAAAAATAACCTCATCAGTTTGAAATAAAAAAAATTGCAGTCTTTGAAAACAAGGTAAAAGCGAGACTATTCTTGTCTCAAAAATAAGATAGTAGCAAATGAAATTTGCTGTTAAAGAAGTTTTAACTTTAGGAAAAAAAAGTGAACAAAAAATTCTAGAATCTTGCAAATTAAGAAAGGCCAAGTGGGCCTGGTGCCTGTGCCATCATCATTTTCACCATTTAGCCACTAAATCATAAAGAAAGGCAAGCATATAAAACCAGAGTTCCACTTAATAGAACCAATGTCTTGAAACTGCACTAAAGAAGTGCCTGGTGTGCAGAGAGGGAGAACCGTGCTGTTAGATTGCTGGGTGGATGATGTATCTAGGCCATTCACTCACATCATAGAGGGGCAAACACTCATTCACAATCCAAATTAGAAAGAAAAAGAAATGGAAGAAGGGAAACACAGAGGAATTGTGGTAGATTGTCATTCACTGAGTTAGAAATCGGGGGTAAAAAATCCCATACCTCCAAATCATGCTGCAAATTTCTTTCAATGTTTTGACAGCTACTGCCAAAATTCAATAAAATTTGATTATAGTTGAAAATGGCCAAACCATAATCAATTATCCCAGTAGGGAAGCACCAGACACAAAAAAGAAAGAAAGAAAGAAACCGCAAGTTCACTAGCTGTGTTCCAATCTCAGTACGCAGTGTGTAGTTTTCATGAAAAGACCTTGCTTGTGACAACAAAAATGTTTCCTCTCACGAGCTCCTTGTAAAACAGGGAGGCTAAACCACGTGGAGAATATTTTCTGGTGACAATTTGGAATGAATGTGTGTGCCCCTCAGTCAATTGGAGTGAATGGCCTGGGAGATTGGGTACCAATCTGCCTCTCAGTATCCTAAACAGAAACTGTGACATCAGACACGGGGAGCCAGTCCTGTCAACAACTTCCATGGTGAGTTTAATTGAAGTTTGTAGAATGAATTCATGCACTGGTACATCCTCATGTGTTGCATGTTAAAACCCAACTGTGTATCTCATGGCTAGGAGTATGGTGTAGTCTGCATTAAACAAGGCAGTAATGTACAGATGGTCTTCATTCTATGGCAATACACAGTGGCATAGCGAACGGGGGGAGGGGGCTGATAAAATGGCAGTGTTTGCTGCGTTTGGTGCTTGGTCAATAACTTGACATTGTAAAATTCTCTCCACTCTACCAAATCAAAAGTTCAAAGTTGTCAGTTGATCTACATTTCAAACAGCCTTTCACTCAAATATGAATGAGCATGGGCTAGTGTGCCCAATGTCCATGAACCAAGCAGATAAACTCCACTGATTCAGGCCTGAACTAAAGCTTGGAGCATTTCATGCACGACTTTGCAAATTGCTCTACATGTATGTTGAGGAGCAAGTCAATCTGATGAGACAACAAAAAGTCTCACAGTTTTTCTCGTAACTACTGAAATGATGAGCAACTAAATTCCAAGAATTTGCGATTTTAGAATTGTTTCCAAGTACACTGCCAGTTGTCTAATTAGTTCAGTCATGGACTACACCTTGTGAGTCAAATGCTTAGTTGACTCTCCCTCCAACTGACATAAAGCGGGGGGATAAATTGTCCAAAAACTCATGTTACAAATTGTACATGTACTTTCTATGGAATCAATATGCTATATTCTTGGCAGCTCTTATTCATGTGTAACCATGGTTCAGACGCAATACATTTGTAGCTCCGATACTTGAACAAGATGTGGAGATCACGATCGGTTTCATTTGTGACCCCCTCCCCCAAAACCTAGCTATGCCACTGTTAACTGTTGTAATTTAAAAACTAGATCATGAATAAAAAAAATAAGCTTTATAAACAAAACAAACTTGATCAAGGCATTGATGTTAAATTTCTAGGCATTTTACTTAAAGTAATACTCAAAGCGCTCTGCTTAAAAATGTTTATCATTTTGAATTTTGGAAACGTTCTATCCCTCAAGTTCTATCTGGGTATGGCCACATTCCTGTAAAAACAACGATAGCGTCAAACGGCCTAAAAGCTGCTTCTGTCAAATTCACGGAAGTTATTAAATTCTGAGTTTGGTGATTGAGGTTTGATACTCAATGCTGCAGAACAAAGTCAATGGACTGTGAATCTGCAAGACCAGTATCCTCAGTAAATCCACAGTTTCAGCAGGCACTGCCTTTATGCATGCCCAGTTTGAAGTGGATGAAGAGAGGATACCTAACACAGTGACCTATCTGAGAGACAAAAGCAAGCGTTGCTTCCTTCATTAATAATAATATGGGCATATCATGGCATCTTGCTGACAATACACTCTGTGTGTAAAGTGATGTCCAATTCCACTCCTCATGCATGGAGTTGTAAGATGGCCAGTTGCCTAATTACATCATCTTCTGTGATGATTAAACAGCCAGACGGGATAAGATTTATCCCTAACTTTAAAGAGAGTTGGCAACGGAGAATAATCGGTCACTAAGTAGTATGTTGGGCCATGATTGCACGTGAAATAGTCTAAAAATGATCCATGGTGTGTTGGTTTGTGATCTGATTTGCCAACCATAATGAAAATTCAGTGCCAATCAATGCGAGGGAAACATTTTCATTAAAAATCCACCATCTGTCTGTGAAGAAAACACTGAATTTTTCAATGCCTTGATCATCAAACATGAAAATCGAGTAGTGTCCTTGATGTTTTTCACCTTCATCTTGTGTCAACCTTGAATTATTTTTAGCCAGTCATGACTTCATACTTCCATTTCAGAGAATAGGAATATCCTCCAATATATAAAGAAAACAAATAAATAAACCTCTTATAATATTTTGGACATAGTATTTCATTTTGCACAACTATCGTGGTTGTCTTCCCGCTTGAAGAATTCAGAATGAAGAGCCAATAAATTGTTAATATTTCGTGCGTAAACAATTTTGGTTCTTTTCAAATTGCAATGAAACTCCAAAAAAGGGCTATGATAACACAAATGAAGGTGAAGAACTCAAGGACATTACAATCAGTATTGCCATAGACTTAAGACCATCACGCTCCATGCTTGGTTTAAAAGTCCTCTCGGGTCGTTTGTTGTTTATCTTGCCTTAAAAAGCAAGTATTTGTGACACTGCAAAGGCAACTCAATTTTTTTTTAAACAAAGTCAAAGGCAAATATTGGTTTAGGTACGTTCCAAATCACTGTAAAATGCAGAAAATTAACAGTGGATTGGCTAGTATCCAGACAGTTTAGCCAGGCAAATAATTCAGGAATTGTAATTTAGGTGTCATCATTGACGTACATTAAATTCAGCCAG